TATCAGAGTTTGAAAGTTGGGTTGAAAATTGAGGATTTTTAGTGGAACCAATATACAAATTTCCATCACCACCAGCTTGAAAATTCATGTTTTAGAGAAAAGAAAATAGAGCATGAATGTATACACAGCTCAAAAGACCGTTGTGGGGAGGAAAAACGTTTTTTTTCAAGAAAGAGACTTAATAGGAGAGAAAATTAATAAATAAAATGCATAGAAACTTATAATTTATTAATTAAAATTAGGATAGAGGGTAAAATTTAACTCTCTAGATGTGGAGAGCCAAACTCATTCTTTAATTTATATTTAAAGAATAAAGAGTATGTTGGACTCTTGTTTTTATGGATAAACTCTTTATAATAAAGAGTTTAGGTCATATAAAGAGTCCTTTGGAGATGCTCATATAAAGTCATAAATGTCCGGAGCAAGTGGGAGAAATGTTAGAATTTAATTAATATATTTGTTATGGTCCTTGACATTTAATCCAAGGGGACATTTATTTCAGTTACAAAATGTTTGTTATTAGTTGAAGTGGTGTTTATTGGTACCTGTTTAGTGGCCACTATTCATGAAACGATTTCTTATGAAGGATTTTTAAATGGTTATTTCCTTGGTAGAAAGAAGTCTATAAATAAAATTGATATAGGTTCCTGATTCATACAATTTTGACACCATATATCCATCGCTAAGAATTGCTTTTGAACTAGATCTCATGAAGACGTTTAGTTTTGGATATCTCGCTATGGTTGGAGGTTAGTAACATATTATTTTTCGCTTCCGCTAAATTCTTGATCTCTAATTTTGTAAACATTTAAATGCATAAGTTTACATGTGGTATCAGAGCAATCCTTAGTCCCTTGAAGATACCTCATGACCTTCTTTGCAACTTTCTAGTGTTCTAATTGCATATTACTTTGATATATTCCTAACATTCTAATTGCAAAAACAATGACTGGTCTAGTACAGAACTGAGCATACATTAGGCTTCCAGCAACTAAAGCATAAGGAATGTCTTTCATCTATTCCCGTTCAAAGTCATTCATAGGACATTGATTCAAATTGAATCTATCACCCTTCACAATAGGCACTACACTAGGTGAACAACCTTTCATTCGAAATCTCTCAAGAACCATATTGATTTAAGCTTCTGGAGACAAACCCAAGATACCTTGGGACTTATCTCTATGAATCTTAATGCCAACGACATAAGATGCCTCGCCTATATTTTTCATATCAAAATGTTTAGAGATACATTATTTCACCTCACGCAGCAACCCTATATCATTGGTTACAAGCAAAATATCATCTACATATAAAACCAAAAAGATGGTTTTACTCCCACTACCCTTGTCATATATACATTGATCCATAATGATTGATGACCCGAAGGTACCAGGAGGTAGCACTAGAGCTGGGGAGGTTCAAAGTTGCCATAAAAGGAGCAAAATCCGGCGTGGAAGTCGAAGAGTCATGAAATGGAGAGTGGTGAAACTTTTCGAAAAACAGCTAAACTTCGGTGGAATCAGCTTGGGGAGGATGGAAAGAGCCAAGGGGAAGGTGAACCGTCGCTTGGGAGGCCAAGCTGTTGCCCCATAAAAGGAGCAAAATCCGACGTGGAAGTAGAAGAGTCATGAAATAGAGAGTGGTGAAACTCGTCGAAAAACGGCTAAACTTTGGAATTAGCCTGGGGAAGATGGAAAGAGCCAAGGGGAAGGTGAATTGTAACTTGGGAGGCCAAGCTGTTGTCGAAAAATGGCAAAAACAACTTAGGAAGATGAAGAGGCGCGTGAGATGGCATGATGGTGGTGGTCGTTGGAAATGGGAGATGGCCGGCCGTTGGGAGGCGAATGGTTGCCGACTTGGAAGATGAAAGGTTGTCGATCAGCAACCAAAATCTGATTAAAGTGAAGCTTTGGCGGCTAGCTACATTTCACGACTCTTCACTTTCCTTTTATAGTGAATGTAGCAAATTTCCATTTGGTCCTTGCATGATTGAAAAGTGACAAAATCGGCCCCAAGTGTTTATGACAATTTGACCCTTGAATAGCACAAATGAGAAAAAATCAACTCTAATTAATAAATCACATGCTAATATCAACTTATACAATCTCAAAATTCATTCCAAACATGCACAAATTGTAAGGAAAAATTAAAATATGATTTTTCATTAGTAATCTCATAAATTCTTTAATTGCCTCACTATGATTTCATTATTAAGCACAAATGGGTATTTTAATCATTGTAATCATCGTAATAAAGTCATTTTTCTTTTGATTTGTTTGAAATGCTTTCCTACATGAAGCTTTTTAATCTTTTAATTTCTTTGAATGGTCATACTCTTTTTATCTTTTAATTTCTTCACTAACTTCTTTTGCTGTTCAAGAGGGAAGAAGACTAAAACTCTTGTTATGAAATTACTTTGAAATAGCATGATGGGTAGTTGATGTTTTCTTGATTACTAAATGTTTAAATGCTCGTCTACAGTCGCAAACATTTCACAAAACAAGAAGCAGAGAAGTGGTGGGCCGAAAATTCAGCCGAAGTGTGCATATTATGCTCTCTGACTTTGATCATTCTCTTCGTTGTGCTTCTTGTTTTTGAATCCAGTTGGTTTATGAATTTTGTTATTAAATTTGTAATCAATTGTAAACTTTGATCTTAAGATTATTGTGAAATCCAAATATGACAAATATTTCTAGAGGGAGGTGAATAGGAATCAATAAAAATAAATACGGAATAAAAACTTTCCCCAACATACAAGTTATAAACAAGTATCAACAATAATAATAAGCAATAAATGTGCAATGTTAATAATCAACAAATATAAACAATGGTGAGCTATAGATGGGAGCAATAAATATGAGCAAGTAATAATGATAAGCAAGTAATAGACATGCAAGGAATAATAAATGAGCTAAAAGAGAAGAAATGCTCAAAGATTTATAGTGGTTCAAAACTATATTTACAAGCCTCCTACATCCATTTCTTCAAGAAAACCTTCTTGAAGTTTCACTAGAATCGGATTGCGCCCTTTACACTAGTTTGACAAGATTTCGCCTCTTTACACCAGTTTGATAGGATTTCACCTCTTACAATAGTTTGACAAAATTTTGCCTCTAGATTTATAGGATTTCGCCCACAAGATGTTTGAATAAAAGTTTGTGATTGATTTCCTCTCAAGCTAGGCTTAAACACAAAATAAGAACAATACTCTCAAAGGTTTTCAATACGAGTATAAAAAAGTGTTAATGATTTGGATTTTTAGGTCAACGGATTATGTGAGAATATTTTTTATAAGACTTTTGTTTTTTGATATTCTCACTCACTATTTTTTTGCAATAAATCACTCTATTTATTGCTTGCCTCTCCCTTTGAAGTAAAGAGTTGTTACTGCATTAAATGCACATTTGAAAAGCTGTAGTACCTAGAGGAACAGGCGTTCCACCATCGTGAACGACTGTTCCCAACATAACAGATACTTTTTCTCAACTCAAGGGTTTATGGAATGATCATTCCATCATCGCGAATAAGCGTTCCACTATCGCGAACGGTCATTCCACCACATGGAACCTCGGTTCATTGGCTCCTTAAAATCCATGAAAACTCTAGAAGCTTGAACGACTTTTTAAAACAACGTCGCTCTCCCAAGGAACGATCTTTGAATAGAAATGGTCGTACAACGTGATCGTTTCACTTGAAACACTTCAACTTGATCTTCAAAGCTTGGTCTTCAAGACTTGTCAAAAGTGCAAAAGCACTTGAATTTGAATACTTTGACTTTTGACTTAGTTGGAACGGTCGCGTAGCTTGGTTGTTCCATTACGAGCGACTTGACATGATTTTGGGAATAAGCATGAACAATCACCTAGAACGAGGTCATGCTGTGAGGAACGTTCATCTGGGTAGCTCTATGAAACTAGGAACGGTCATTCCATCTTCATGTATGATCATACCATCTAGGAAAAACTGCATTTTTGTTTTGATTATGACTTGTCATACCTTTGCATGTTTGTTAGATATCAATCTAGTTTTGACACATCAAAACACATGAGAGCTTACAAATTGTTATGGAATTTTTAAATTATTTTTATTTATCATGTCATGCTGATGTCAGTATGATATCATCATACTAATGTTAGCATGATGATGTCACCAGTCTATCGGTTGGGCCAGGTCATTGCATGGGTCGAGTTTTAAAGCATTGATAAATACCACTTGACTAATAACAGACATTTTATAACTAAAATAAATGTCCACGTGGATTTAATGTCAAGGACCATAACAAATAAATAAATTAAATTCTAACAGAACAGTGGAAAAGTGCAAATATAGATGAGGGGTATTATTATGCAATGGAAATTTTTTTTTTTAAAAAAAAAAAGGTAAGTTATATCTTTATTTGAAAAAACAGAAGCATCTAAAGTGGAATATCGTTCTATTTAATTATATTAATTTCCAATGACATAAATATCTTTAAAAGATAAAATTAATGTGAATGAAAAAATTAAAAATTATAATAAAAATTAAAAACTGTAAGGAAAATGTTATTAATGAAAAATAACTGGTCTATTATTATAAATAACCAAATATGACAAAATTATTAACACCTCAAATGAGCATAGAAGGATAGTTATCGTTACGAAATGGACAGTGATTATAAAAGAAGAGAATTCTAGGGAATTCCTACAGCCTCTAGTTTCCTAGAATTTAGATTAAATCAATCAAGCTAGCTGTCACTCTCAATTAGACTCTGAATTAGAGGTCCGGGACCACTTATGTCCACTTCACTACTTAATTACACAATTAAATTACCATAACTATTCTTACGTTTCCTTCCCGCTTTCACACCCTACCCCACCAAATGATGACGTCAGCACTGGCGCTTCTCATTTTTCTTCTCCACCACGACACCTTTCTCTTCCTTCGTTTCTATTCTGTGCCACATCACTCCCGTCTCTAACAACTTCACACTCGCAATCCATTTTGTCTCATTTTCATCTTTCATGGGAGAAACTCAACTCAACCCTCTGGTCACGCCTCCACTCACATGGATTCTCCTTTTCCCTGCGTCGTGGCGTTACGCCACTGCACAGTCTGTCGCACCGCCGCCGCCGCAAAACTCCAACCTCGGAATCTACTCAAACTTTGATCCGTCTATGGCTATTATAATTCTGATACTCGTATCCAGTTTCGTATTCATTACGTTGTTCTCCATCTATGTCCGTCACTGCTCAGAAACCATGATTTCTGTACCTCCACCCGCTGATGACGGCTCCGTGAAGCGTGGCCTTGATCCTGCCGTGATCAGGACTTTTCCGACGTTCATTTACTCTGCTGTTAAAGATCTCAAATTAGGTAAAGGTGCTCTTGAATGTGCAGTGTGTTTAAGCGAGTTTGAAGACGACGAAACGCTGCGTTTAATTCCGAAATGCGATCACGTCTTCCATCCTGATTGCATCGACTTATGGCTGGGTTCTCACGTTACGTGTCCGGTTTGTCGAGCAAACCTTACAATCGAACAGAAAGAGCCGGCTAGATTAACGAATGCAAACAACGATTTGAACAGTAACCAGAATCAGAATCAGAATCAGAATCAGAATCAGAATCAGAATCAGAATCAGAACGAGAACAATTCAGTTTCTGAAATTGTTATTGATGTGAACGATGAGCTAAGCAGAAGCAATGAAGTGCAATTAGGCGAAACTGTTAGAAGAAACGACGCCGTGTCTCTGAAGTTTCCACGGTCTCACTCGACGGGACATTCGCTTGTACTAGCCGGAGTGAACGTAGAGAGATACACATTAAGATTGCCTGTAGAGATTAGAAAGCAATTAATTAACGGTAAGATTAAGCGAACACAGAGTTTTAGTGTCGTTTTGGGAAGGGAAGGGACTTCCAGAAAGGGTAGTTATAGGAGTGGAGGAGATGGAAGTAACAGAGGAAAACGTAATATGGACCGGTGGGTTTTGTCGAGGACTACACCGTTTGTTTCGAAGACGAGGTCTGTCAATTTTTTAAAGTTTGAGAGAGAAGGGTCGTCCGATTCCAATAGTAGGAATTTGTTGATGGCGGTTACGGGGCCGTTAAATTGTTTGAATATGAAAGTTGATCAAGGAGAACAATCGTCGTCAAGGCCGTCTAAGCCTCTGATTTAACTGATAATAGCATTTGGAGATGGGCATTTTTGGTTTGCTTTTTCTTTTATTTGCTAATTGCAACGAAAATTATGTACATATTAATTAATAAAAAGATAGGACAAAATCTTCTTGATTTTCTTTTACAACAAGATATGGTGTAGGCTCTTAGGATTTGATACATTGTAATTTTGTAACAGATAAAGTTTTATGTAATTTCAATAACTTTGCAGAGTCTACTTTGGTAGATTAGTAAGGGAAAAGGATGCAAGGCCAGCCATTGAATATTGTGATGGTAGAGGTCATGAAATTGAGGTGATTTGTGTTTATATTATTATTATTATTATTATTATATGTTTCAACCAATGACTTGAATTACTGTTTTGAATTTGACATTTTGCATTTGCCTGGGTGGTAGGGGGATGAACCTGGGTAATAACTAATAACTACCTGAGGAATAAGACATTTTTAACCTTTGCGCCGTTTCTTACTTCAATTTCTATCTTTTAGATTAAATAATAATTTGATTAATATTAAATTAAATATATTCTTATGTCCTGAGAGATAAATGTCTTGATACTAGCATATTTTTTATCGTTGTTTTTTTTCTTTTTCTTTTTCTCCCCTCTTTTATTTTCTCCGTTTCACCTAATAAACACATATTATAACAGTTAATCTTTAACTTTTTTTTTTTCACATTATTTTTCTCAGTATTTGAATTTTTAAATAATTTCTTACTGCATAATTTCAGTAATATATCATAAAAAATTGTTTAAGCAGTCAATTTTTTTTTGTTTTTTTTTTTTTTTTTTTATGCATTATGAATGTGCTAGATCTTTGTCTTTAAATAATAAGTAATGCTATCTATACAAACTATTTCCTACCAATCAGGGGAGGACCCAACCTCTTGGAGGGTAGGCCTGGGTAAGGTAAAAAAAAAAAAAATTTATATAGTCCATAAACAAATACTATTAATAAATATATATTTAGACTTATCTTTAAATTTAAAAAAAAAAAAATATTATACATATATCCAAACTCATAAAAAAATTGTTATTAATATATATATATATATATATTTCACACTTACATTATATTAAAAGTTTTAAAACTCTCTCCACTTTTTTCTACATACATCTGTTTTTTATGATTTTATCCTTAAAATTATTTATTCTTCAATTCTCTCTTTCACTTTCTTTATGTTATTCGTTATTAAAATTTTTGAAGATTGAAATTGTTAAAACTTTCACTCATTAAGGTGCCACAATTAACTTCATTTTCTGTTTTCTCACTTTTAGGTATGTGTATTGCTCATTTCATTTTAGTTTATTTTAGGGTTGAATCATGCTTATTTTTTGAAGGTTTTTTATTCTAATTTGATGAAAAAAGGCATGGATCTTGTAAGTTTGTTTTGTGTTTTGTGTTTAAAAATGTTCATGCTTTCTCAAATTAAATCTTAACTATATTTTACTGAACGCTATTCTTCGTCCTTCATCCACCACTTTCTTATATTTCAAACATCATCGTTTAGCTACTCAAAATTATTAAAGAAGTTTGGGTTATTATCTATGTTTAGATTAAGAAAATTTCCCTTTTTTTTTTTTTTTTTATTAATTCATATTAAAAGTCAAGGCAACGTTGACTTAATTTAAGTTTTGATTGACTTTAACTTGACTAGACCTGATCAAAGTCATGAAAATTTATATTATAATCTTTAAAAGTAAAAAAAAAAATTAAAAATTAAAAATTAAAAGAAAAGAAAAGGAGAAATAAAAAATTTGTGTAGAACATTTTTGGTAGATATTGATTGTTGTAAACTTTTTTAGTTATATTGGATTTAAATGGATCGTTAGATTCCCATGGTCTTTTGCTCTCTTTAATTTAGAGGTTTTTCCACGTAAAAATTTTCTTGTGTTTCCTCGTGAATTGGATGTTATTTTCAACATAATTTGCTCAAGGTTTTGCTTCTCATATATTTATTGAAGTAATAAGGTATTGTGTTATTGCATTATTTTCTTTCAGATTATTGATATTGTATTATTTCTTTTGCTTAAGGTTTGATGATTTTTTATAAGTTTTCACTAGTTGTTTGACAAACAATAGCGGAACCGCAGATGCCTCCTTTCGACAAAAATCCTGGGTCCGCCACTGATACCAATTGATGTGATACACTTGCATGTTTGTCGCATGTTTGTCATGTAATTTCTTTTAATTATTTAATTTATTTTTAAATTTAAAGTTATCAAATCATCTTAAAACACTCAGTATGAAAGAACTTCAGTATGAAAGAGTTTATATATGAAATATTATCCTTAAATGAAATATGATAAATCTTATACTACACAAGAAGTTCATAAACTTGGCTACCCAAAACCCTTTAATTCTCAATCAAATAAAGACTTCTTTCTTCTTCTAAAGTTATCATATCTAGTGAGAGAATCCTCTAAATCCTTATCTAATACTTCTCTCTCTCTCCCTCTTTTAAATAATTTTTTTTTTTTTCTTTTTGAATTTAAGAAACCAAAATACCAGATAGGCCATCTATTTTCTATGCAATGTTATTTACACTACTGCAAACTAGAGACGGTGGAAGAGACCAGTATACAATTTATTTTGAGCACTTTGGATATTTTATAAGTTTGCATGAAGATAAAAGAAAAAGAGTGACGATAGAGAAAAGGTTAATCATAAATGTGTTAATTCCAAGACGCTTATTTATTGTACTGACAAATACCAAGCTCAAATCCCACAATTAATCAACCACAGTAACTATCTACCCAAAACCAATTAAGTAAACACACCAATAATCTCACACAACCAGAAGAAGATGAATAAAATACGATGATATTTGATTTCAAGTAAGAATCAATTGAACACAACTTTGATTCAACAGAAAATTAGAAAGCAAAACAGAGAAGATAAAATGAAAATACTGAGGAAAACATATTACGCAATTCATTCCCATACTCTATAACATAATTTACCAACTAACCACCCTCATGCCACCATCTATCCACACTCACTTGACTCACTTGCTTGGCATTCTTTTTGCTGCATTACCAATAATCCCTTGTTGTCCCCTCCCACGCCTTCTAATATAGACCACAATAGGTGTTTAATCAATAACAACGCCAACCAACAACAACCCACCAACCCACCCCCCAACCAAAAGGAGAGTCACCTTGTCCTCAAGGTGGAATTAGGGAAACTGTAAGTTCAATGTGGTAAAGTCCTCCTAGGTGTCATCATGATGCTACAGCCTTTTCCACTTAATGAGGACCTCTTGCTTTCCATTAAGTAAACTCCTGGTTTTAATGACTTCTTTAGGTTCTACAACTAAAACCAAGTCATTCATTGAGTGTTGCGGGGAGAGGCTGAACGTTGGCTAGTGCAGATGTGTTCTTCGTTAATTGGGATACATGGAAGACGTTGTGAATGCGGCTATCACATGTAACTCCAACCTTCAGGTTGTAGCTCCCATTTTCTCAGTAACCCGGAAGGGACCATAAAATCTTGGACTAAGCTTCTCATTGTACCTCTGGGCCAAGGATCCCAGACGGTAAGGCTGGAGTTTTAAATAGGCCGACTCTCCCACCTCAAATTGAACATCTCTCCTTTTTGTATTTGCGTAAGTTCTCATACGATTATGAGCTTTATTGAGGTTGTCCTTAAGCTCAACGAGGATATTGTTACGATCCCAAAGCTGCTAGTTTAATTCGTCCATTATGGAGCTTTGATCAGTGTGCTTTAGCAAGGTAGTAGGATCTCTTTCGTAGAGTGCTTTAAAAGGGCTCATTCCCATAGAACTACTATAGGTTGTATTGAACTGGAATTCGGTCCACAGAATCCACCTAGTCTTATGTTGTGGCTGATTTCCTACAAAACAATGCAAGTAGGTTTCCAACATTGATTTACCACCTCGTTTGACCATCCGTCTGAGGGTGATATGCTAAACTCATATGAAGTTTCGTTCCGGATTGTTTAACAATTCCCCCCAAAAGTGGCTCATGAAAATTCTGTCCAGATTTGAAATAATAGTCTTCGGAAACCATGCAATCGAACCGCTTCTTTAATGAACAAAGTAGCCACTTCTTTAACTATAAAGGATGTTTCAACATTAAAAATGACTATACTTCGTAAGCCGATCAATGACCACCACACAGTATCATCATTTTGCGCCTTGGGTAGCCCTATCACAAAATCCATTGAAATGTCTTCCAGACGTAAACAGAATAGGAAGGGGTTGTGAAAACCTGTTGGACTAGAGCATCGCACTTACTTTGTTGACACACTATACATGTTCGACATAGGCATGGATATCTCTTTCATACCCTCCTAATCAACTACATTGATAAGGTGCTTGTGTGTGCAAAAGAATTGGAGTGCCCTCTAATGGGTGATGAATGAAAATCGTCAACAACTTCTGAATATGGGGGCCTTTGCTTGGTACAACAAGTCGATATGATAAATCAGGGGGCGCCCAACTAATTTAAAAGGAGGATGGCTCTGTGGTTCTGTGAAGAGTTGTTGAAAATTTGCTGCAATTTTTCATCATTTTGTATAGCTTCTTCTAATTCCTTTAAGCCATTGAGACACCCAACGATAAGGAATTATTTTCGGCAGCTTCATAACATTTGGACAGAGCATTTCGACCTTGTTTTCAAGTCTCGGTCGGTACAGTACTCAAAGTTTAGTCCTACTAGCTTGATCACCCATTTTTGCCGGTCCTCTCCCAATAACCTCTGCTCTGTCAAAAATTGTAAACTCCGCTGGTCTGTTCTAATGATGAATGCCTCCCAAGTAATAATGTCACACTTCTATATCGCTAATACCACTGCCATCATCTCGTTATAAACGACTTTAATTTCGATCTTAATGACAAACCTTTCTCAAGAAAGCTAAGGGTCTTTCTTCTTGCATAAGGACAACCCCTAACCCAATTCTCGACGTATAACTGTTTGAAAGTCGGGCATGACTAACATAGGCACGCTGGTTAGGATCAGTTTCAAGGCTCAAAGGCTTCCTGAGCAGCATCATCAATGAAAATGAGTCTTTCTTTAATAGTTATGTAAGAGGAAGCACTACTATGTCGTAACCCCTGACAAATCTGCGATAGTATCTCGTTAATCCAAGAATCCTCCAAGAGCTCAAACATCTCTTCGAATTGGCCACCTATTGATACTTTCTATTTTTGATGGATCTACTGCAACCCCTTCGATCGAGATAATGCGACCGAGATACCCCAGTTTTCGTTGCCCGAAAAAGCACTTCTTTTGGTTGGCTACTAAGTGTAGGGGTGGGATAATCTGTTTAACCAAACGAATGAGAAAATTTAGCTGCCCGCCATCCCAAGTTTTGATTTAGAAAGGCCTTGAAACTGTTTTTCATTTTTTTTTTTAATTTAGAGAAGATGAGGTGGCATAGTTAGGATTAATT